TCTGCTCACAGTTCAGCTCCCTGCTATTTCACCTGGAAAAACAGTGGAAGATGACCACAGTACTTGGACCCCTGTCACTCAAGTGGAAGACCAGAATGCAGTTCCAGGCTGCTGGCTTTGGCCTGGCCCAGTGCCACAGCCCCAGCCATTGTGGACATCTTGAGCAGGGAACCAGAGAATGGAAGATATCTCTTTCTTTCTCTGTCTCTCCCTCTCTCTCTGTAACACTTCCTTTCAAAAAATAAATTAATTAAAAAAATAAAAAAGAGTTCCTGTTCCTCCCAGACTTTCATATCCAGTCACTTCTTTGGAGACTTTTCTGGGTTTCCCTTAAAAAGAGTTCATCAGTCCCTCCTGTATGCTCTGTCAACAATGTGTTCAAAAAAGCACATCATAATTTATTTCCTTGTGAACATACCTGTGCTGTATCATGATGTTTCTTAGGGTCAGGATAAGAACTTATTTGTTTCCTGCAATGCTAGCACTTATCACTGTATCAGCAGATTGTAGGCACACAATCATTGTTTGAGGAGTAAATAACCTGCATCCCTTGGCCCTTAATATAGCTGTGCTCTGCATGTTCATGAGGTGTTATCCAGTTTGTTTCCAGAATCATGGATAAACTTTGTATATGAAGATATTTTAAAATATTCATGGTAAAATTGATTTAAAAGATCAGTAAGTCTGAGTGCAAAAATTATTTGAAATGCATACATACTCTTTACCTAGTAAGCAATGAACTCTTTGAAGACCTCTCATTACATGAGTCATTGTATCAGTTCACTTAACAATTCTGATTCATGTACTCTCTGTTGAAGACCAAAATCAAAAACCCCATGATTGAGAATTGCTGTATAGCAAGCCAGACATATGATGCCTCAAGAACAGAACAGGCATGTGAGGGTGAGTGTGAGTACATGTGCATCTGTAAAATACCTATGACTAAAAGAGGCACTGAACCAGACCACTTGTTCCATCACTAATCTCTCTTCAGTAAGTATCGTTCAGACAGATGGGGAGACATTTTACACCAAGTTATAACCTATTTTAGGCCCTTCCCTTGAACTCCCTGCTTGCCCTCATCAGGATGTACATGTAGAACCAGAAGGTGCTGTTACTTAACTCCTGTACCAGGTTTTCTTAACTTTAACTTCTGCAGCTGTGATAGTATCTGCTTTCTATCTTCAGCGATGTCTGTTGCTTGTAGCTCCTTCCTCCAGCATACATAGGCTGCAAGGACACCAATCCGTGAATCAAGGCAAGAAATCTGCATCTCCTGTGATTTGTCCCATGTTGCACATTATTCTTTTTTTTAAAAGATTTATTTATTTATTTGAAAGGCAGAGTTACAGAGAAAGAGAGGGAGGGAGAGATCAAGAGAAAGATCTTCCATCCATTGATTCACTTCTTAAATGGCCACAATTGACAGAGCTGGGCCAGTAGGGAGCCAGGATCCTGGAGCTCTTCCGGATATCCCACTTGGGTAGAGGGACCTAAGTACTTGGGCAAGCTTCTTGCTGCTTTCCCAGGTGCGCTAACAGAGAGCTGCATCAGAAGTGGAGCAGATGGAACTTGAACGTGGGCCCGTATGGGATGCAGGCCCCTTAGGCACCATCTTTACCCACGATGCCACAGTGCAGGCCCCTAAACATTATTCTCCACTTATCACTGACAACTGGAGCTTCTGAAATCATATTATCTTCTGGGTATGTGCTTCTCAAGGCAGGCTACTTTGCTGGTTCCCTTTCCTCCTCCTTGTTCCCAAGTATAGGTCTCGGATACTACTCGTAATTCTGGATTCCATGCTAAATCACAAGCTTTGTCATATTCATAGTCTTCTGAAAGGTCTCATTTGGTAAGTAGTCACAATGTCAACTACTTCCTATCAAATCTGTACTGATGTTGTAGACTTTCTCAATATCTTGTTATTTATTTTTGAGAGGCAGCAAGACAAACAGAGAGAGACAGATAGGGGGTGCAGGGGAGGAAAGAGAGAGGAAGGGAGAGAGGGGGAGCATAAAAGTGAGCACTATCATCCCCCCCAAATTCTTACATAACAGCTGAGATCACAGCTGGGCCAGGCCAAATCGAAGAGCCTAGAGTACTATCCAGACCTTCCTTGTGGATGGCCAGAACCCAGGTACTTAAATGATCACTTCTGCCTCCCAAGGTCCCAAGCTAGAATCAGGAGCTGGAAGTGTGAATCAAACCCAGGCACTTCAATGTGAGATGCGGGCGTCTGAACTGATAATCAGCTGCTGGGCTCAGTGTCTGCTCCCTCATATATCTTTGTTAGATGTCATGTCGCAGTCTTGTATCCTGGCCAATGCCACTCCCCTAGACCACCAGTTAAATCTCTGCATACTCTTGCAGCCCTTACTCTACTAAATCTCTTTGCAATGTCCCACACACAACGGTGACAAGATACTGATCTTGCATAAAAAGAGCCATCTTCAATTATGACACTTCAATTACGACAGTGATGATTACCTTCAGATCCATGTTACACAAGTAAGAAATTCTTGTCGGTACCACTTTTAACTGATTCAACTCCTATGTAGATACAGTATGGGATCCACATGTAATCAATATCTCCTACTTAGAAATCTCTCTCTCTCTCTCTCTCTCTCTCTGTCTGTCTTTCTGTCTCTATCTCTCTCGATCTCTCATCTGTCATGTGTCCGGTATTGGCCCAAAGTATTCTTACACCTGAATTAAAATGTTTTCTGAAAATCTTATACACTTCAAATAAAGCTTTACCTATAAATGCTATTACACATTATCACCAAAAAAATAGAGATGAGTGTGATATGTTGTAATTTTAATAAGTTGATACATAGATAGTTTTAATGCATTAAGATAGAAATTGGTTCACAAATAAATTTAGAGGCTCACTGTAAATCCTGAAAGTGGGACTATATTGCTAAGCTTTGAAATCATGTGCGTGAAATAGAAAGGGTGCCAGTTTACATAATTACAGCTATAGAAATATGGAGTGTGACTGTATGGTCAAAGGGTTTTGTCAGTGTGTTAAAAAAAAAAAAACACAAGTGCTTCTGTTCATAATTTTGTCACTTGCACACATTTTCATGGCAAAGGGCCAAAAGCATTTAATACAACTTAAGGATAACAAGGAAGTTTGAAGGCCTCTAATGAGCAGTTGATTAACAGTAAACAGAAAGATGTTATGATTCCAGTTTAAATTCTATTCGAGCATGAGGGTCATTTCCTTTTGCTGTAGGTCTTCCTCCAAGCTTATTAGTGAAGGAGTATGAAAGAAATTTTAATTCTTCAATTATATTATTTGAAGATAATTAACTCTGAATTATGAAGATAAATACAAAGGTTGGCTTAAAAATGTATGTGTTTAGACATAACCTGTAGTGTCTAGTGACTCATTTAAGCTATGATGGGTTTTAATCCTAGAACTACTAAAATGTTGGTGGAAGAGGAAGGGGAATTAAAAATGTATTGGACTGTATTATTATCTCAAAGGCTGATTATTATGCAAAAGCATGTTCCAGTTTCAATTTTAAAAACTACTAATTTGTTCTCAACAGCTGTAATTTGGGATCCCACAGGATGACATACAAGGAGATGCAGGGAGAATTTGGAAGGCTATTGTTGGTTCGGTGCCTTGATTCACCAGGCCACTTGGCTGAGATTTCCTCTGTCTGAAGCTACAATAACATGGTGGCCACACTGTAATTCATCACAGCTGGGAGTTCATAATACACAGAACACAATAAGAACCTGGAAATGTACTAAAGAGAAGAGAATAGGGTACATCTTTTCACAGTTCTTCACCTTAGTTGAATTTTTATATAGCAAACTAGGGAAGGAGCTGAAGAGTTATTGGCATTGAGTGTGGCACTGTTTATGTAGTAGCACTGTCTTGCACTTGTCAAGATAGTGACAAATTGAACTAACTTAGCCATGTAATTGTTGAGCTGCTATCATAAGCTAAACATTGTAGTCATTGGAAATACAAAGATAATTGTAATGGAAATGGTACTTATTAATTCAACTGTCAGTCTTCTCTCATAGTAATTAATGTCTTTCTAAATCTTTTCCTTCTGCAGTTATTGACTTATGGACCATTAGGAGTATTGCAAATGGACACACTGTCAATTAGTTTTCATTGAAAATAATATAAAACAAAAGAAATTCTAACATTTATTAATATCCTAATAGCACTTAAAGAGAAAGCTTATCATTACAAATCCATCATGTCAAAATTTGTGACTCATGTTTTTTTCTTTATGCTTCATATTTTAAGGATTGGTGATCTATCTTTCATCTAAATTGATGATGTTTTTGGTTAGTGGGATGTGCTATACAACTTCACATCAGAAAAATGCATATACTCACTTACATACCCATAATACACTACATATAATTTCTGAGGATTGATGAGCTATAGTAAATGCTATCGGTAAGACTGCACACATTTATAAGATGGAAACCTATGAAATTGCAACTTGATTTGGAAATTAAGAAATGATCTCTCAAAGAATTACACTTCTGGGCTAAAATGTAGTTTTCTGTCGAAAAAGCTGATACATCCATATTCTGTTGCAAGTGTGGTTGTAGTCTGCATCTGTGATTGAAACAAATTTTTAGGTCTGGCTTCTGATGAATTTAGCATGAATTTGGACCAGAATGTGAGGAGTTTCCTAAATATGCCCATATGTGATCCTTGACATACATGTATACATTACAGCTTTTTTAAGGCCCTGGCTGCTATTGTAACGGACAAGCTACAGTCCTAAAACATCTTTTCAGCACAATTGAGTTTCATTATCCTTCTGTGTTTTTGGTCCCAGAGTATCACAAAAGAGTAGCTGCCTTGAGTTTGTCTTTGGAACATTTCCAAAGCTGAACAGGTGATACCATAAACCTACTCCCGTCTTGCCATTTGGGGTGAGCAAGCGGCTTTACATGGTGCCTCCTTCTGGATGTAAATTGATTTTAATGATTTCTTTCTTTCTCTTGGGCAGGATTTATGTGGGCATCATTCATGTGACACCCTGGGAATGGCAGACGTTGGGACCATATGTTCTCCGGAGCGCAGCTGTGCCGTGATTGAAGATGATGGCCTCCACGCAGCTTTCACCGTGGCTCACGAAATTGGTATGCAGCGCCTTTTCTCTTCCCTCGCCAAATCAAACACTTGGAACAGCTGCAACAGGAACCAAAATACTTGGCAATTAATTCCAGATTTCTCCCAGTTCATATGTACCGCTGGGGATTAAATTTGTTTATATTTGCACTTTTAGGGTTAACTAATATGGGAGAGGGAAGGCAAAGTCAGCAGCACAGTAGATGTTTCCTTCTGTCAGTGTCATTTAGAAGTGGAAGAGACATTTGCTACTGCTACTGTCTGCTTCCTTTTTAAGGATTGCTAAATAGCTCCTAGACAAAATGTGTCATGTCGCTTTTAGACGTTGTTCAAGGTGGTGTTGACTCATCCAAGGTGAATCTGTTTGTACAGAAAGTTAACATGCTGTACTCCACTGTGAGTAATAATTCTAAGTTCCTAGTAAAGGTAATCTTTCACTTATGATACATGTTCTTGTTTAGTCCTTATGTAGTGAGACAGATGAAACCAATCCCGGTGCTTTAAATGTCACTTACCAAATTTATTTCTTAGAAGAAACACATAAATCCTACAGCCGTAAATTTGGTGCTAATAAAACTATCCACAGAATAAGGAATGTATGCTTCCTTATCATTGACCTGGGCTGCCAGGTATGTGAGAAATTGGCTTAGTACGGAGGACTATATGGTTAGAACTAGACACATCTAAGCCTAATTCTTACAAAAGTACTTTCTAGTTGTGTCTCGTGGGTCTGATTATTTAAAGTCTCTAAGCTTCAGTTTTCATATCTTCACTATAGGGATAACAGGTCCTAGTTCATGGAGTTGTGTTAAGGATCTACACAACACTGGGTAGGGCATAGTTCTCTGTGTTATTTACATGGCCGTGTACTTCTCTTTTGCTGTTTAAATAGTTCACTTCCTTTTTAAATCTACTTATCACCTCAGCATCATCTTTTGGAGTCAAAGCATCCTTGATAATTATTATACTTGGTTTATAAGATAATTTTAGTCTTATTTAAAATTGAAACGAACTTTTAAATGGCAATTCAAACTTTCTTTCAAATTCCTTGTAGGCAGAGAATTTTAAACTGTGTATTTTCTTTGAGGAGTTAAAATAATTTCTGATCCAAGGTATAATCACATAGATAAATTTCGATTCTTAAGTATTAATTATGACATTAATATTCCTGATTAATACCCTTCTTAACATATACGTAAGAAAATAAAGTTTAAATAACATCAGTAATACAAGCATTACTGATAATAATTCAATTCAATACTTTGTTAACTGGGCATCTTTGCCTTTGAGAGCCAAGAGCCAAGATGGAGTCCCAGACCTGTCCCTGTGTCCTCTTTGTTATCCCAAAGTCAGACACTTTGAATGCCTTTCTTCCCTATATGGTGCCCTAATAACGAGGTGTGACTCTCTCACGCGTGCATTGGAAGAGCTGGTGTCCTTGTAAAAGCATATGTCACTTGAACCGCAGGTTAGGGATTATATCTGCATGTGTCTCTCCCCCACCTATTAAAATACCTGATACAAATATAGCCTGATATAAAACGATAGTCAATATTCGCTACACTTCTGGGTATGTGCGTGAGTGAAAGAAACAGACGAGCTGTCCAAGGCAACAGTCTGATTCTGCAGCAGAAAGTAAGAGGATTTGGTCTAAATACTCTACAGGGCTGTAGTTAAGCAGAGAAATTTAAATAGTGTGCTGGGCATTAATCACCATTATTCAGAGTGAATGGAATCCCAACAGAGTGGTGCTACATATCTGGGAAGGCAAAGGCTGGTGAGTTCCAGACAAGGAGGGAAACGATGGGGAATAAGCAAGTGTTGAATTTTAGCACCATC